AACCTTACCAAATACAGTACTGTCCACATATTTTTTTTTTCCGTATCATAAATTCCTCCCAAATCTAGTAATTGTCTGATCAACTCCAGGGCTGGATGAGTTCCATATGTATCTGGTACTGGCGTATTCAGGTCATCTATAAATATTATAAGCTTAAGGAAGACAAGCACTTTGAAAATATGTTAATAAGTACTTCCTCCATTTAAATCACAAATTTGGAGTATCAATTATGTTATGGCCTCAAAACAAAATTACATGTCATAGCAGATATGGGCACTAGCTCCTGGCTGGGCTCTTCCACTTCCCATCAAGCTCCCTGTTGGTGGCCGGGATGGCCCAAAGCTTTGGGACCCTACCTTTGTGTGTGAGACCTGGAAGAATCCCCTGGCTCCTGGCTTTGGATCAGCTCTGCTCTGGCCATTGTGGGCATTTGGGTAGTGAACCAGTAGATGGAAGATTTTTCCTCTCTGTAAAGCTGCCTTTCCAATAAAAAGAAATAAATCTTAAAAAACAAAAACAAAAACTATCTAGAGTTTATCCTGGAAGACAAAGATGCACCACATTTATCCAGATCTGCAGTTCAAATCAGGGGAATCTGAAGCAAACCCTTAAAAGCTCTTGAAATTGACAGTCACAGGGGTTAAACTCAGGAGCTCAGGACCCCAGGAGATGATCTGATTGGTGAGTTTGGACTCTGAACTTCTGTTCTCAGACTGGATTAGTGTCAGTGAGCATAAATTTCGGTTGTGACAGAAAGTGTGTCAGGCAGATGAAAGCTAGAGCCAGGAACACTCAATGCCATCTGAAGAAAGCAGGTGTCTCAAGGCTCTGCCCTTCACACCTTCACGGAGGTTGTGGGTACCTTAACATTCACTCTTAGGATTCCAGGCCAAGGTCACAGGAAGATAATGAGTGCTTTTAAAATGTCATAGAAAAATAGGCTAAAAAAAAGTTTACTTGGGTGCAAGACATTTTTTGAAGTCCATGCACAGTTTTATCTTATGCATTTTCTGTGTAATTTCTGATTATTCCCCAATGTATACAATTTCAGCATTTTTTTTTGTGGCAAAATAAACTTCCCTCTTGATACCATTTTACTATGAGTTTTTTGAAGTGCCCTTGCATAACAACAAGGCAATAGGCACCTAACTCATCTTCTAGTCTTCACTCCAGTTTCAAGCTTCTTTGGCCTTTAGTAATTTTTGATTGTGTTAGAAATCACATTATGTTGATTTGAAAACCATCTTTGGATTAGTAAGTAAATATTCTAGAAATATTCAGGAATGTATTTTACATGCACTTTTTCCTTTTTGTTAGTGTTAATTAGAAACAAGCCAATGTATCACTTGAATAGCACAAGCAGATTACTCAACATGGATGGGAACTTTTACCCTGTTGTTCTTTGGTGCTCCCAGAGTTTCTGTAGTTCTCAGTATTAGGTTCTTGAGAATCATCTCCTTGGTTTTGGCAGCTGTCATATTGATGTTAAAATTTATTGTAGAGAGTATAATTCCTTTATTAAAATTTTTCAATGAATTTTCATCACTTGTGGTTTGCTTCGTTTTGGTAGTAACATCTATGATGTCAAAAATGGAAGGAAAAACAAACCTAGAACACTTTCATAATGTTTCTTCTCTAAAGTGTCAAGAAATCAAGATTGTTTTTGTCATTTTGGAGACATTTTTGGAAGAGAAATCTCAAACTCTGAAATATTTTCTTAGTTATTTCTGGTAAACAGTATCTCTTGGCAACCCTAACCAGATATAACAATGTAAAATCTCAGCAAATCATCTATTCATTTATGCACTTTAAAGCACAAACAACTTTTTAAAATCTAAAAGCAGCATGCCGTTAGGTGTTCCAGGAGAAGCAAAATTAGGGCACATTGGTTGAGGGAGGGTGGTATAGGGATGGGATTATAGCAACAGAGTAACAACAAAACAGAAACCTCTTCTCACAGGGATCCTGTGGTCTCCCTTGCCCTTTCCACAGCCATCTGCAGGCTGTTTTCTTGGGAAGCCGAGCAGCTGCCGCTCACAGACCAAGTTAGGACCTTCAGCAATGATGTTCCTGAAACTTCCAGTTTCAACTGAATGGGTTGGTCTCTGAACCACAGCATCCCAAGTGTTCTATTTCACAAGGTCTACATCAGGTTTTGGGTGAGCAGACACAGTGGTCCTCAACCACACTGTTCCACCTGTTGAATGTTTTAAAGAGCTCAAGAGTCTAATGAACATTTTTTCAAGACTTGCAATGTAAATTGATGGTCACTTACGTTTTCATTCTGAGATTTCTGAAAGTGAGAAATGACATGCAAGAGTGCGAGATAGCAAAGTTTTGGAACTGTGCTACAATACATACCTGAACTTTCAGGTGCCGTCTTTTGTGATCCAGAAATGAAGAGGCTGATATTTTGTTGTAGGCTATTGGAATACAGTATGTTAAGGATGTCAAGTTAGCTTATTGACCGTCATGGTGATGTTGACAGAAACACAATAGCAGTAACAGCATATGGTTGACTTTATGTCTCTATCACTTAGAAGACAACTTTCCCCTCATCACTGCTCATACTTCCACCTACAAAATTGGTGTCACCTTTAGACTGATAAGCAAACTTAATAAAAAACAGTTTACTTTAAAGACAAGCCTGGCAAATCCTAGAATGCCAGGCTACTGGATGTTTCCTTAAGAAAGCAAACCATGGCCTTCTTTGTCCTTTTGTAAACTGCACTGCACTTACGTGTCACTCTGTGAAAGACACATTCACTGCTATCTTGGGCTGGATTTTAGGTGTTTTTATACTGAGCTGAAAATAGTTGACTCTCTCTATTGCTAAACTTCAGTTCAAATATCATACATACAGTAAAGCTTAGCTTTTAGATTCCATTATTTGTGATATTTACATAGGGAATGCTTCCTATTGTATGAACTGCTTCAAAAATCCTAGGATTTAAAAAAAAATATTTACTTTATTGGAAATGCAGATCAGATTTATGGAGAGAAGGAGAGACAAAGATATAACTGCTGGTTCACTACCCAAATGGCCACAACAGTAGAGCCAAGTCGATTTGAAGCCAGGAGCCAGGAGCTTTTCCTTGGTTTACCCTGCTGGTACAGGGGTCCCAAGGCTTTGGACCGTCCTCGACTGTTTTCCCAGGCCACGGGCAGGGAGCTAGATGGGAAGCAGAACAGCTGGGACATGAATTGGCGCATAAATGGGATCCCAGTGCTTGTATGGTGAGGATTTAGCCATGAGCCATTGCCCTGTTTCCAAATTATATGCTTTTTAAAGGATTGTTAAATTGTATTTGGATTTTGCTCCAAAATTATTAGTTTAAGAACTAATGATAGGGGATGGGAAGGACTACAACTGCACAAATAGAAGTGGTGAAATTTGGTCTGTAGTTTCACTGTGAGAAGATTATATGTAGGGCAGAGGCAAACGGAGTTGCAGGGACCCAGAGGAATCAGATGGGCCATTGCAGATGAACTGATTAGAGAATTCAAGTCTAATTTCTAGGTCTCAGGCTTGAATAGTTAGATCTGATTTCCCAAGATCAGAAATACTGGAGGAAAAACAAGTTTTGAAGGAAATTTATGAGTTTTTTTGGGTAGGTGATTGGTACAGAAGATGCCACTAAGTTACCTGCATCTCATATTGTCTTCCCTCACTTTTGGGAAAAAAAATCAGATAGAATGACAGAGGCAAAGTTCTTTGTTTCTTAAATAAATACCGGATATTCCTATGTAGAAAAATAAAATTAAATTCTTCTCACCTTATTCAAAAAATCAACTCAAGATGGAGCTAAAACCTAAAATATAAAATCTGAAAGTATGAAGCTACTAGAAGAAAACATAGGGAAAACAATTCAAGACATTAGTATAGACAATACATTTTTGAATGAGACCCTAAAAGTGCAGGTACTACAAGCAAAAGTAGACAAATGTGACTGATATCAAAGAAGTTTCTGTCCAGCAAATTAAATAATCCACAGAATGTATAGAAGGGAAAAAATATTTGTTAAAGTTCTTAGCAAATAAAGAATTAATATCCAGAATATATAAGGAACTAAAGAACCTTCAACACCACCACCAGGAACTCATCTAGTTAAAAAGGGGACAAAGGTCTGAAGAGAAATTTCTCAAAAGAAGAAATACAATCCACCAGCAGCTACATGAACAAATGGTCAGCGTGTGTAGGCATCAGAGAAGTGCAAATCAAAATTACAATGAGGTATCACCTTATGGCAGTTAGAATGGCTGCTGTGAAAAAGTAAGTACTGGGGCCCGGCGCGGTGGTGCAAGAGGTTAAGGTCCTCGCCTAGCACGCCTGGGATCCCATATGGGCGCCGGTTGTAATCCCGGCAGCCCCGCTTCCCTTCCAGTTCCCTGCCTGTGGCCTGGGAAAGCAGTCGAGGACGGCCCAAATCTTTGGGACCCTGCACCTGCGTGGGAGACCCGGGGGAGGCTCCTGGCTTTGGATCGGCATGGTATCGGCCCGTTGCGCTCACTTGAGGAGTGAATCATCGGACGGAAGATCTTCCTCTCTGTCTCTCTGTCTCTCTGTCTCTCTGTCTCTGCTCTCTTTCCAATAAAAAAAAATAATAAAAAAATAAATAAATCTTAAAAAAAAAAGAAAAAGTAAGTACTGGGGAGGATGTGGAGAAAGGGGAACTCATATGCTGTTTCTGGGAATGTAAATTAGTACAGTAGAAATCATTATTAGTAGAAAACAGAACGGAGATTTGTTAGAAACTACAAACAATGAGATTCCACCTCAACCCAGTTGGGACAGTTCTGCACAGTAAATGCTGGTGAGGACGCAGGGAAAAGGTGCTCTAGCCCACTGTTCCTGCGACTGTAAACTTGTACAACCTTTATGGAGCACAGTTTAGAGCTTCTTCAAAGACTGGAAAATTGGATTTAGCATATGACCCAGCCATCCTAGTCATGAAAGTTTACTCAAATGAAACCAGCATAGGAGATAGATATTTTCATACCTGTGTTTATTGTGGTTTAATTCATAATGGTTAAAATATGGAATTCATCCAGATGTCCATCAATGGATAACTGAATAAAGAAAATGTGGAAATCAACTCAGCAATTAAAAGAATGAATTCCTGTCCTTTGCGGCAAAATGAATGCAACTGGAAACCTGTATATTTAATGAATTAACCCAGTCCCCAAAAAGATAAATATCATGTTTTCCCTGAATTGTGGTAACTAATACAAAGTATAAAAACTGTTATCTATATGAGTGAGGGGAACCTTGAGATTTGATAGTTTACAGCCTGTGTCTGTAGAATAGATTTTAATTCCTACTTGTTATTTCTTGAAATCCTTATCCAATGGAGTGTTAAGCCTGTGATTATAAAGTGAAATGAAAAGAAGCTACTGTAGAAACATAACAAAGTGGAGGAGGGAGGGAGGGGAACATGGAAGGAGAGTGGGTAGGGTTAGAAGTATCCCTAAACCTATGGTGTGAATTTTTTCCATTTTTTTAAATTTAATTTTTTAAAAAATTTTGAGTTTTATGTACAATTCCATGGTTTGGGTTCCCTCTCCTCAAATTCCCTGCCCCCCGAAATGATTTTCCCCATATTGTTACAAGAGTTTAGTCCTTCATAAGGAGTTATAATTCTATATGATGTGAAATTAAAAATGAAGAATACATAGAGGGAGAGGTCCATGACATTGGTCTGAATAAGGATTTTTCAGATATGACCTCAAAAACCACAGGCCAAAAAATTCGAACACAGATAGATGTGATGGAATCAAATTAAGAATCTCTGCACAGCAAAAACAGTTGAGGAAGAAATATGTGATGAAACAAAAGATGGAAAAGATGTAAGTTATAACATATATACATCATGTATAATATATTATATTATATATAATATGTTATACATATAAGTTATATGATGGGGGTTAATACCCCAAATAAATAGGGAACTGAAACAACTCAAATGTGAGAAAAAAAATCAATTAAAGACGGGCAGACCCTTTTTAACATTAAGGGTTGTCAAATCAGGAAGTTAATGTGACAACCTCTCAGAGGTTAATATGATAACCTCTGAGTAATTTGCACCTCTCACAGAAGATGGAGAACTAACCATTAGGTTTACATCATGTTAATTCAAGTCTGTCAGCAATCATTGCTTTTAGAGTAATATAGAATACTATGTGAAATGGAATTACTTGAAAATTTTTGCCAACATGATCTAAGAGAAAAATTGATGATCAACTTATTTATGAAGTTTACAACTCATTACACACTAAAGTAAAAGAGAGAAGGTTCTTAGACCAAATCAGAGGCAACAGATGGATTCTTTGAGACAAACACAATGTCTGTAGTGTCTGCATACAGCACTGTGGTGATACTCAGCGCAACTTAGAGAATCGGAGGAAGTAGTCATTGGGTTGGAATAAGGGTTACATAGGAGTAGGCACTAAACTGAATTACTCTCCTGGGAATGGAAAAAAAATATTTAAAAATGTTAACACTGGGTTAAGGAATTACGCAAATAAATTTAATTAGATCAATCAATGCTGTTGTAAATGATCCTCGAAGGATCACAACCCACTGGCTATGAAGGCCAGACCATAAGCCAATGGCTCTCCTTCCAGAACCTTCCTGAAGGTAATGAAAGGAAGAAGATTTAAAACATGCTGTATTTGCAAACCTGTGCAGGAAGTGGGCATCCATGTACTGCTGGTGAGAAGACAAATTTTTCTTGTCAGCAAAAATTTTCAGGGCCAATTTTTGTAAAACGCTTAGACTACATACCTCCTAGACTGCTTCCTAATGCTGAAATTCTCCTAACATCAGATGCTGTCACTACCTGTGAGGAGGACGGGGTAGGAGTTCTTCAAAAGCATGCTCATGAGGAAAGAAAGGCACGTCGTGTCTCTGGTCGCAGTGTAACGGATGCTCTCTCCATTTTCCATCTTCTTCAGGAAGTTATCACTTCATTGTTGCAGATCAGTTAGTAATGAAGTTCCTGCTTAAAAAAAATTGTGTTGAAACTTTCACGTGGCCAAGAAACATATCTAATCGTGTAGGCACTCATACTCTGAAGAAACCTGCACAATACGCAGTAATTTAAACACAAAGCAGTAAATCAACAATAGTTCTCTGTGTTTGTAACCTCTGCTGATCTCACTGCCCTGTCACAGCATCCTCTCAGTGGGTGAGCCCGCCACTACATGCTTCTGTCCACTGTAAGGCAACTTCACGCTTTCTTTTTTTTTAATACCACTCCTTTTTATCTTCGTTTGATGATTAAGATTTTTAAAATTATTATTCATTACATTGCCTTATGTGACACAGTTTCATAGGCTCTGGGATTCCCCCAACCCCTCCCCGTGCCCTCCTCCCATGGTGGATTCCTCCACCTTGTTGCAGTATTACAGCTGCAACAAGAATCCAGGTACTCTTGCTAAGGTAAGTAAGTTGACATTAGCCTATCGGGAGCTGCAGAAAATGGGAAGTTTCAAAAAAAATATTTATTAGAAAGGCAGAGTGAAGGAGTCAGTGAGTGAGTGAGTGACAAAGAGAAAAAGCAGCACACATACACAGAGACAGATCTTTCAGGCACTGGTTTACTCTCCAAATACTCTTGATGGCCAGCGCTGGACCAGACCAAAGTCAGGCGCTTCATCTGTCTCTCTCACGTGCGCTTTAGGGGGCCTAAGCACTTTGACCAGCTTCCGGCTGCTTTTCCAGCCGGCATTACCAGGAGGCTGGATTGAAGTGCAGCAGCATCCACGTGCGATGCTGCAATGTTTCACTGGTGCCAGCTTAAAATGCTATTCCACAGCACTGGTCCCTTAACCAGCATCTTAATAAATAGGCCAGATGTTTTTCTTTAAGCAAAAATATTTGTCAAACACTCATACATTCATTTGGTACAAAATTCAAAAGCATCTAACACAATGACTAGTCTTTTCCTTATTCCTGTAGCCTAGCCATCTAGTTCTCATACAATTGTTTGGCAGTTTAAAAACAAAGTAACGAACTGCAAAGATCCTTTTCTAAGGATTCTCCTGTGAAAGTTCTCATTTGATTACTACTGCTCTGTTTAATGAATGTACTCTAAGTTTTTCACCAGGGCTACACTACTGCATATCTGTGGTGTTTCCTAACCTTTATTGTTTTTAAAAAAAGCAGAGCTTATGTAAAATACATAATTTCTCACAAATACACATGTAGAATTTTGGATTAGTATTGAATAAATAACCATTTATTATTAATCTCTTTACATCCCCATACAATGATTAAGGTGTGTGCTTTTGACTATCTGGCTATGTCTGCACTGAATAAATAACTTAATGAATATCTAGTGAGCTTCAAAACATCTCTTTATAATAAAAGATTAACAGTATTCTTTTAAAATAAAGAATGCTGTTTTTTTTTAAAAACAAACAAACAAAAAAAACAAAACAATCCCTACCCCTTCATCAAAAGTGATTTTGAAGTATGTCTAAGAGGCCCAGTCTGTCATATTAAGGTTTACATGGGGGAAAAAAGTGAGTCTGTGACATTTAAGTTCCCTTTTTAAGTTTGGGATTGAATGAATGATCAGGAGTTGCTTAGTCATTTGCCCGCAATCAGGGTGAATGGCAATCAGAGGAAAAAACATTTTGGATTTGTAGAAAACCCGCCTGTTTTTCGTAGGTGTTGTACACTAAGAGGCTGAGTTGCATGCAAACAGAACTCATCTGTGCTCTTTCTACGTAGCGGCAACAGCTAAAGATAAAATGGACTCATTTAACAAAATCATCTATTTTTAAATAGAGAAATACAAGGAAAGCTTAGAACCACACAGGAAATGGTTAGAGTGGATCCACATATACCTTACTAGGTAGGACAAAAAGATTAGTTATTCCTCGCTAGGGTATTGAAGATTTCTCTGCACACCCCTCCTAAAACACTTCTGCACCTCAACTGTTGACATATGCCTTGTTAGAGTTATAAGCCAGTTTAGACTGTTCTAAAATCTGCCAAGTTCAGCAAAATTATGCTTCAACACTATAAATGGCTAAATTCTAATATGAAAATAGACACGAGACAGCTGAATAGTACTTTATAGTCCTTTTAAGGTGTACAGCAGCCAGTTCTGTATATAAATTAAAATTGAAATGTCAATGAAGTAGTCACAGGATGTGGTTAAGAACTTGCATTGTTTTTAACATATTGGTTATTCAATACCATGTCAATTATGTTGTAAATTGTTGTTGATGTTGTGCTGGGGCTTTCAATTGATTGGGATAATATTCTACCAGCTCCACCTTCAGACCAGAGATGGTCTCCCCAAGAAACCGTTGAATTTATCTGGACAATAAGATGCTGGGCTCTATGCTTAGTATATGTTTGCAAAGAAAGAATCTTGACTGAATTTGAACTGTAATACCACAACAAGGTGGAGGACTCCACCATGGGGGGAGGGCACAGAGAGGGGCTGGGGGAATGCCAGAGCCTAAGTCACACAATGCAACGTAATTAATAAAACAAAAATTGAAAAATAAATCATCTATTTATTTGGAAAGGCAGATTCTACAAACAGAATGACAAACAGAAAGATCTTCCATCCACTGGTTCACTCCCCAAGTGGCCACAATGGCCAGAGCTGAGCTGATCTGAAGTTGGGCGCCAGGAGCTTTTTCTGGGTCTGCCACATGGGTACAGGGTCCTAAGGCTTGCGGCCATCCTCAACGGCTTTCCCAGGCCACAAGCAAGGAGCTGGAATAGAAGTGGAGTAGCCAGGACAGGAACTAGTGCCCATATGGATCCCAGCACATGCAAGATGTAGTCTCTAGGCTACTATGCTGGGCCTAGGACTCATTATTAACACTAACATATAAACAACAATTCAGCCGTTGTTTTAAATATAATCACCCACTGCTATCAGAGTACTTTAAAAGGTTTGTGAAAAATACAATTAAAAAACACACTTCATTTAGCACATTTTTTTGAATTCCATCCATGTGAGGGGTGATCAATAACAATGGAAAAATTTATATTATGAAACAACCATGGATTTCAAATCTGTGTAACTAAATAAAGTTATCTTTCTAATAAAATTTTTAATGAAGTTTGACATATTTCTTGTGGCCAGGTATTGCACAGCCTTGGTATTCCCAAACAAAATAAATTCAGACTTAGAAATTTTTGTAATTTTTAAACCCTTTTACATGCAGAAGCAAAATATTGAGAATTAAAAAAATTACTATATTTAGGTATTTATCAAATTATGCTTACTGTTTTCTCATTGGCAGTTTCCTTGGTCACCAAGGCTAAGTTCTTACATGTATGCCTTTCCTGTTTTAAAAATGCATGTTGACAGTTCTTGATAATCAGCTAACTGCTACCACGGATAAGATTTAGCACACGACAGCTTTATGTATATCTGACTCAAACATGGTCCAAATTTTTTCAAAATATATTCAAAAGTTATTTTTTTCAAGATGCATTTTATAAACATATATCTAAAATTATTCTTGCAGAAACTTGGAAGTTATTAGTACTCAAAATCACAGATGTTATAAACGGAATATTCTAGACTTGTAGAGAAGTTATAAGTAAAAATTTAAAAAAAATTATTTTCCTTACCTCTGTGAATCGGTGTCTCAACACTAGGAATTAAATCTGACCATGGTACAAATTCACACTGCTGTATATCCACAAAATACCCAAAGATGGAACGTTCACCAGCTGGTAGGTTGATTCCTACAAAGAAGAAAGCGGTGTGGCTATGGAATGTTTCCCTTAATCTTATGAACTCCTTAAGATGTTATTGTTGGGCCAGAAATAGTAAGGATTTACCAAGAGTACAACCAACTATAAAAAAAATAGACATTTTTTTTCTCTCCAAATATTTAATTGTATGAAAGCAAAATTTCACTATTCATTCTATTTATATCCAGAAAAGTGAGTCATGATCTGGTACCCTTTGGATTCCTATCCAAAAATGCTTATTTGAATATTTTCTATCTCAGTTCTTTCCCTTCTGTTTAACTTTTTTTTTTTTTACAATCTTTACATAGTTAAAAAGGTTCAAGGGCTATAGGAAAGTGGGTAACACTATTATTTCCATATTGTTTCCTTCATGTTTAAAGGGGGGTATTAAGAGAGAAGGCCCACCCAATTTCCCACCCTGCCCAGGTCCTGGATGTAGGGCATGTTCCGAGGTTCTTGCTCAAGTGGTTTTGATAGTTCATCAGTTATGAATCGCTGCTAATCTTGCCACTACAAGCACTATGAGGTCGCTGAAGAATCCACTGATTCACATAGTCCATCACAGAGTCTCTGCCCTGTATTTCACTGCCAACATATAGCTGAGATGGTTGATTGACCTGTTCTGTCTTCTCTGTATTCTTGGTTAGGGTTCTGAGTCCAGCATTTCAATTGGGGAGATCTCCAAAGAAACTTTGTCTGGGGTGTTCTTGGACCAGATTCTTGTATGTACTACCCTTCTGTTTAACTTCTGTCAATAGTGATGTTTCTTTTTAAAAACTCCCCTTGGCTTCCCCTACTCCCCCCGAAAAACCAACTTATTGTTTTGGTAGTTTTTAAAAATAGATTTTAAGTCTATATTTATCCATTTCTTCTCTGAACTTTTTTCTTTCCTTCTAATAATTTCGGTTTAGATTTATTTTTGCTTTTCTGGTTGCATTTTGAGCTGCACTGTTAGATTTTTAAATTTGCAATTGAAATATGTATGAGAGCTCCACAGCATAAAAAAGATTTTCTGAGATTGAAGACAGGTTTTTAAAAAATAACGCATCAGGTGGGGGAAGGGAGTAGACAAAAGAGGAACGTAGAAGTGAGGAGAGAAAAAGAACAAAAGGTAGAAACAAAAGGAAGGGAAGAAGAAAGAATAAAGAAAAGTTACAAGAATTATGGGACACTATTAAGAAAGCTTTACAAGCTTCCCAGAAGGAAAAGCAAAAAGGCATAGGAAATCAATTAAATAAGAGCAGAATCTTCCAATTTAGGGAAGGACGGAGATATCCAGGAAGCTCAATGAAGCTCTGAGAGCATCCAGCAAAGGTGATCTCTGTGGTCCATGATAGTCAAACTGTCAGAAGTACAAGAGAGTTTAAAAACAGCAGCAAGCCGCATGTCTGTGAGTCCCCATTAGACAAACAGCACACTTCTCATCCCAGCAAAACTATCCTTCAATTAAAGTAACATCTTTCCAAGACAAGCAACAAAGGTGTGGATTTATTACCATAGACCTTCCAAGGAAAGGTGAGGGCACTTTACATTAGAAACAGAAGGATGACAACTGCCTTTATGGAAACATAAAAAAATCATGCAATTCAGTGGCAGAGCCAATACACAAAACAGAAAGTGAAAAATTAGATCTTATCAATACAGAAAAGCAACAAACCACAAAGGAACAAAAAAGGGGAAGAAATAAAATATATACAAAACAGTGGAAAAAAAATACCTAGCAATATTACAGGAGTATGCCTTCACTTAATGATAATCTTGAATGTGAAATAAGTAAATTCCCCACTGAAATACTTCAACAAAATACATTGATCAAAGCAAGCCCCACTGAAACGATACTTATAAGGAACTCACCCACTGGCAAAGCCACACATAAAGGCAAAGGGATGCCAGGGAGGGAAAAGGGTGAGCACATGGCAGCCAAAAGAGCAGGAATCACTACACTTAGAGAACAGAGATTTTAGATGAACAATTATCAAAAGAGATAAAGTTCACAATGTAATGATAAAGTGACCAATTAAATAACTACTAATGTGTATATGAGTGCACTCAACACTGGAGAATTCAACTGTATAAGGCAGATGTTAGACCTGAAGGGAGACATAGGCACTGATACAATAGGGAGGGACTACAACACACAGCAGATGATAAATTTAAACTGCTTTGGCTTCTTCTACTGGTTTAGGATGATGTTTTGTTTCCATTTTTAATTCAGAGCCAGGGAGGCACAGCAGCAAGACTTGTGGATGCATCACTGGCCTACCTGCAGGTGTTTGTAGCATTGCTCTATCATCTGTCATGCAGAATCTCGTAGGCAGAGCAGCTTCTCCGGGCATGATGTGCCCAGCTCAGGTATAGGGTGCTCATTATTTTCTACAGAAAACATGGGAGGTGGGAGGAAGGACCACTCTGAGTGTCCTTGCAGGTGTGGTATGCTGGCAGGATGCTGGAAGCCTGGAGCCTACCAGGTTGCACTGCGTAGGGGCAGGGCTACTGTGGAAAGCATGGGAGGGGAGGACTATTCATTTACTTCACTGGGGGCTTCCAACCCACTCAAGAAGAATCGCCTATCATTGCAGGAGACTGGGAAGTATTGTTTCTCTGGGCCAGAGCAAGCCAAACTTCCCCGGACTGATGGCTTGACAAGACCTTGGCAACTGACTGGCTCAAAGACCTGCCCATATTCTTCCTGGGGCCAGCGTTAGGTGGCATTGCCCCTGTACTGCTGGGGACCCTCCATGGGCTGGAGGCACTCAAGGTGGCCTGTTTGGCTACTTCCAGAGGCCCTGTAGGGTTGGTTCATCGGCCTGCATGACCAGCAGCTGACAAACTGCTTCCAGGATGCTGTATGGGCTGGGTCTCAAGATGGCATTGCACAGCAGGCGCCTACCATCCTGTAGAATGGGCTCCTTTTCTGGGGCAATGGAGCAACATAGATTCCATGGACCACCCCTACTGGGCTCAGGGCTTGTGATGGCTACAGGTTTCTCCAGCAGTTTCTATCCTACAAGTTAATTTCCATAGGAAATAACATAAAAATGTTTCCATTCAAATATTTTAGATGAAACTTCTTACAAAGAACTTCAAGAGGATATTTTAGGAGTTGCAAAAGACAAACCACTGTGATTTGTTCTTTTAGTATAATGTTTTTAGCTCTCATCTTTATTTAACAAGGCTCTAAATACATCCATGCTCAATATTTTGTCTCTTAGTTCCTGCATCTAAAATCTCTTTATCTGCCCCAGGTTCCTTAAACCAGTAACAGCCAAGTGGGTAAGCTCACTGCATCAGAGTATTTTAGGATAGATTCCATTTGTTAGAACTGATTCGAAAAGCTTAAATGCTAAGGCTTAGCACAGAATTTAGAAAATGGACTATATTATTCTTCTACAGAAGTCCTGTACACTGTGGTCTAGAGAATACAGGTGCACAGATAATGGGCTCAGCTTGGTGGCACTCAAGGTGCTGAACTAGCATTTCAGCTAGTCCCTGTCTGAACTACCATTTCAGCTTCTTCAAACAAATAGAATCAATTTTCTTCAGCCTCTTTTTCAGTGCAGTGAGGATACTGGATGTACCTAGTATTTTTTTTTTTAACCTTTAATCTTCATATGTTAAAATATGGACCTCATCAATACAAATTCAGGGTTTTGAAATTAAAATTTTAAAGTAAACATTATCACGATTCCCCTCTGCCAAGAACTTACTTATCTGTGAATTGTTTTCAAACACTTCATGCACGAATTTGTTAAAATCATAGGTTACTCCTGCAAGAGAATCAGGTTCGGAAGTGGAACAAAACAGTTCATCCTCTTCATGCTCATCCTCACGTTTCAAAGTTCCTCCAAATGCCCAAGTAAATGCAAACACGAACAGTTTCTGAATCATGACAGCTAACTTATCAGGGTTCTTCTCCAGGTACCAAACGCTGTATTTCCTGAGGTTGATACATACAGAAGGGTGAAGGTTCAGTTTCAGAAAGTAGGTTAGTGATTTATTTCAATATCTTGTCCAAGTTCCATCACTAACAATTATAATTACAGGTAGGTACTGACATAAAAATTTTAGTTAATGTATAATTTTCCTTTGATAATGGTTATTATTGAAAATACATGTTGTTAGTATTTCTAAAGTACCACATATGCAAGGAATTAGTACTTAGTTTCTATTTAATATATCTTTAATATTTTATCATTTGCATATATAAATGTATAATATACTTTTACTTAATATATGTACACATAACTTTAATGTATGTGTGTTTCACTTTTAAGTTAACTTATTAACTGAGAGTTTACTTACATTTTGCACAAGCATCTTCTAATTCACATTACATAGAAAGATGGAAGTGTGGGGCTAGTTGCTCTGTATTCTTCTCAACCAAGTCCTGGAGGTCAGCTCAGGTTAACCTCACCCAACCAGGCAGTGTTACTCTGGGAAGAGCGTTCTCCAGTTTGGGTCAACCCAGGTCATCACAGACACATGGGACCATGATGTACAGTGAGCGACAGGGTAGATGGGCCCTGAATAGGACATCTGGCACTGATTGCAAGATACACTGCATAGTTCAGGATTTAACGCTATCATAAAAATCATTGCAAGTTATAAGAAAACTAAAAATGCATAATGGGATGGAAATTAATGATGAATAATTAAGATTCTATGCACAATCTAAAAATTCTAGCCACATGGCAGTAGTTCCTTCAGTATTTATTGAATGCCTCTTACATGTTTTCTTGCTCTGAACCAGACATAATCTTTTTTGAAAATAGGACAGGAAAATGAACCCACAATCATGTTAACAGCAACAAATGAAGATCAAGTGACCAGCAGGGAGAGTTAGCTTGTGGGAGTCAGAGAAGGCCTCTTTAAAGAAACAACAGATAAACTGAGACCCTGAGAATGACTG